AAGTAAGTTTAGGAATGGTGTCCCAAGGATTACTGCTTGACTCAAACCTCTTACCATAATAAATGGCATTTCGAAGCAATTGTCATTATTGCATATAGCAGCATTGGATAATTTATACTTAATAATCAACTTACTACCATCAGCCGTATTTAATATTTGGGTAGTTTTGTGAAAATATTTTGTAGGAACTAGTCCGTCGTTTATGCAGTTCAAATCAGCTCCAGAATCTATTAATGCAAGAGATTGAACGCTGTATTCTTTATCTACAATTATTCTGATTAACACAAACCATTTTTTAGTTATTACTCTATTTAATGTATTTACATAATTATTGTCCTGTAAACCTGTATCAAAGGTTTCAGGGATTTCATCCTTAGGTGAGTCTTCTAAAGTAATATTTTTATAGTTTTTTAATAAATTATCAAACTCTAGTTCATTGTTGGTATCTATATCTGATTCAGAAAAATCATTTGCCATTTCTAATATTCTATTTCTATTTTTCAATTGTTGGATTTCTGTTTTAACTTCATTTATTTCATGTTTTAATTCAGAAATAGTTGGTTCTTTTTCAGGATTTTTCTTATTAAGCCTGTTAAGTATTTCATTTAAACTATATTCTTCATGTGGCTTAATTATAGAAGCGGGTTTATTTTTTGATTTAGTAATATGGATGTATTGTGTTAAGGCATTCCTCTTAGCTTCTAGATCTGTTAATTTATCTATTAAGTCTATGATTAGATTTTCTTCATTACAAGACCTACCAAAGAACCTGAAATTGGGGTGAAACTTGTGGGTTTTTAAGCCATTGGTATTATAATCCTACTGTCCAAATTACATAGAATTTGGACATTAATTTGACCAACTTTGGGAATCAGTGTTTGACTGCCGGTCTACCTTGAAAACATGTTCATGCTCGATCACCGGCTGTCCAGCACTGTTCATCTGCCTGAAAAATGGTCTAACTTTGAAATGAGATTTCTCTCTGATCTTGAGGAATTTTTTAGAAATTTGGTGGACATGTATTTCATGAGAGGCTTTACAATTCTAGAAAAGAATGAGGTTAATAAACTTTGATTTTAAAAGTGAATTGAGAACTAAATTCTTAGGTTGCAACAAATTGATGATATGGGCAGCAAGGTTTCAAGTATATCAAATCTCCACTATTTTGGAGGTTTTTTGATTGAAATTTGTCATTTCATTTGTATTTGGATGCTCTATCATCCTCAAACTGATTGGGGTCGAAATGCTCAAATTTTTTATGGATTTGATGATGAATTCATCAACTCTCTCATCCTTTGCTGCTAGACCGTGGTCAATCCAATAAGCATTAGTCTGAGATTTTCTCAGGAATCTGCATAATTTGAATTTGCACATGCCCAAACTTGCTTGATATCTATCCTCTTGGGTCACAATGGGAGAGAGGGCCATAACCAATGAGATTTTGGATGAGTATACCACCAAAATTAGATTGATCTTGGCTGCTATATAAAAGCAGGCTAGACCAATGGTCTAGAGGGACGATACATTTTTTGAGAGATCTTCATGAGATTTGGAGAGCAGGGACTCTACAACAGGCACCCCCCTGCACCTCCAGGGACTTTAGAGACTATTTCTTGAGAGAGAATTGAGATCAAAGCCAGATTTGAAGAAAGAACAGGGGAGGAGAGTAGCTCATTGCACTTTCCATAGATATAGCAAGGTATCCAGGAATTCTCATTCATTCCTAGCATAATATCTATAGTTTTTTCTTTTCATATTGAGTTTGTATATATTCGAGCCCAGATCAAGGGTTCCAGGTTGTAACAAATGATTTGGATGGAAATGAAACGAGGTTCCTGCATGTCCTCAGAACTCCTCGTTTCCCAGTATATATAAACAAAAGCCCTTTCACCATATGCAAACAATAGTAATTTCTTATGCCTAAGTGTCTGTTTTCCTTTTCTCTATTGATTAATCATCTACAAGAGTTATTCTTTTATACAAGCATATTTGACATAAACACCTCAGTTTTAATACAAGGTGCAAAAAAGCAATCCCATACTACTTTGAATCTCTTTTGTCATTGCATTAATTCTATAACTGTAATTTCATGTTTTTGTGATCTATATTCGTCCATAACACAATAGGACTTTGTTTTTCCTACTTTATCTGATTCTATCTTTCATTTTAGATTAATCTATACGGTAAACTAGGAACAAGAAAAGGTGAAAAAGATGTCTTCAAATTAGCAAAAATGAGAGAGAAAAAGTGTAGGGATCTAGGCCATATTAAATTCATTAAGAGTGAGGATCAAAGAGTTTTGGTGAAGGATGAAGAGGTCAACGAAAGGTAGAAATTTTATTTTAAAAAACAATGTTTCAAAAAGCGCTAGGTGGGTCCTAGGTGGCCTGGGGGGTCCAGGCTGCCCAGCGCATAGGCGGGCGCCCAGAACCTGGGTGGCGCAGTCGAATCCAAAAAGGATGCCCAGTCAAAGATACTGCTAAGGACTCAAAATCTTCTAAAAAACCCCTAAAAGATTTATAAAACAGCAAAACTTAAATCTAATATCAATGGGTGATGTTTTAATCAATTTTTGTCAACTTTGAAAAAAATATACCTCTGGGCGGTGTGTCGGCCTAGGTGGGTTCTGTACTGCCTAGGCGGGGTGCAGGCCCTGGGCGGCCGCCCTGGGCTGGGCGCCCGCCTAGGCGGGTTCTGTACCGCCTAGGCGGCCGATCAGTGACTTTCGCCCAGATTGGCTGCCTAGGCCTGAGCGATGTGCCCAGGCCTTCTGGACCGCCTAGGCCCTAGGCGGTCCGCTTTTTGAACCACTATTTAAAAAATTATCTAACAACGAATACAATGGAAACATTGAGATAGAAGGAACCATAGAATAAGTTCATAGATACTTTCATAGGATTAGGATAGCATAAGTGAAAAAAGCTTTGAAGAGGATGAAGATAGGAAAGTCTTTAGGACCAAATGGTATTCCGGTAAAGGTTTGGAAGTGCATGGGGGAGATTGGCATTGACTGGCCAATCAAGCTATTCAACAAGGTATTGAGAACAAAGAAAATGCCAGATAAATGGAAAAAAAGTAGTGTGGTACCTATTTACAAGAACAAAAGAAACATGTAAAATTGTGTGAACTATTGAGAGATCAAACTTATGAGCCACACTATAAAGCTGTGGGAGAGAGTGATTGAGCAACGATTAAGGCATGAAATGAGTGTGTCAGAAAACCAATTCGGTTTTATGCCAAGGAGGTCAACAAGTGATACTATTTTCCTACTTAGGCACTGATTGGGATGTTTAGGGCGAGGGTAAAAGACTTCCATATGGTGTTTATTGATCTAAATAAAGCTTATGATAGACTACCTCGAGATTTTATTTGGTGGGTGCTGGAAAAGAAAGGAGTATTCAGACACTACATCGACTTGGTGAAAGATATGTACTAGGGGACGCTAACTAGTGGAGAGCTTGAGTGAGTTTTCAGTAATAATAGGTCTATATCAGTGGTCAACATTGAGCCCATACCTCTTTTTCTTAATTATGGAAGACTTAACCAGACACCTACAAGATGAGATGCCATGGTGCATGTTGTTGGCGGATAACATAGTCTTGATCGATGAGACCTGAAATGGTGTCAACACAAAGTTAGAACTTTGGTGGGATGCTCTAGAATCTAAAGGTTTTAAAATTAGCCAGACTAAGACAAAGTATATGGAATGTAAGTTTAGTAGTAATAGGAGTAGAGACGAATAAGTAATTAAGATTGGTGGCCAAGAAATACTAAAAAGATTGCACTTTCGATACCTTGGGCTTGGGTCGATAATCCAGAAAAATGGAGAGATTGAGGAATATGTCGCACATAGAATTAGAGCTGGATGGACGAAGTGAAAAGTGCAACTGAAGTTTTATACGATTGTTACATACCAATGAAGCTGAAGGGCAAGTTCTATAGGACAGTTGTGAGACCACATTGCTTCATGGGGTAGAATGTTAGGTGGTCAAAAAACAACATACCCATAGAATGAGTGTATCTGAGATGAGGATGTTAAAATAGATGAGTGGCAACACAAGAAGGGATATAATTCGAAATGAAATATTCAGGAGAATTTAGGTGTGGAACCTATAGTCGATAAGATGAAAGAAACTAGACACCATGCGCGGCGCAGACCCAATACAACACTCGTTAGGAGTTGCGAGTTAGTCCAAGTAGAAGGCTCAAAAAGGGCAAGGGGTAGGCCCAAAAGGTCATGGTTGAAAGTAGTGAGAAAAGATATGGGAACTTATGGCCTCATTGAGGGTATGGCTCTTAATAGAGTAGAATGATGGACCAGGATTCGTGTAACTGACCTCAATTAGTTGGAAAAATGATCTGACGACGATGATGATGTACATGTCACCGGTATGGATCAGGCTGACAAGTTCGTGCCAGGTTTTTCATTTTATTTGCTTGCTATGTTCTTTCTCTTATTGTGTGTATATCACCCTGTCGCTCTTTATCATATTTCTGCCAATGTTTGGAATAGTATTATTCCTTCTTCATCTAGAGAAGCATGTATTCTGGTTAGCATTGACATTAATTTATTATTTACTATGTACATGTCACCGGTATGGATCAGGCTGACAAGTTTGTGGCAGGTTTTTCATTTTATTTGCTTGCTATGTTCTTTCTCTAATTGTGTGTATATCACCCTGTTGCTCTTTATCATATTTCTGCCAATGTTTGGAATAGTATTATTCCTTCTTCATCTAGAGAAGCATGTATTCTGGTTAGCATTGACATTAATTTATTATTTACTATGTACATGTCACCGGTATGGATCAGGTTGACAAGTTTGTGCCAGGTTTTTCATTTTATTTGCTTGCTATGTTCTTTCTCTAATTGTGTGTATATCACCCTGTCGCTCTTTATCATATTTCTGCCAATGTTTGGAATAGTATTATTCCTTCTTCATCTAGAGAAGCATGCATTCTGATTAGGATTAACATTAATTTATTATTTACTATGTACAGAAAAAAGGAGAAATCCGATTCTCTGAAGCAGAGTGTATCAAGATTGATGCAGCTAACAATAAGGTTCATTGTCGCTCTAATCATGACATAAATGTGGAAGGGAAGGAGGAGTTTCTATTGGATTATGATTACCTGTTTATAGCATTGGGAGCCCAAGCCAATACATTTAACACGCCGGGTGTGATGGAGCATTGCCATTTCTTGAAGGTATTACATATCCAGGTCAAATATTAATTCTGCTAGATTATTGTTCATTCTGAGCACTTAAAATATGTTGCGACTGTTGGATATTTGAGATGTGATAGAACTTTAGCATTACGATCTTTATGGTATCATAGACATGACACAGATTTCCTTCTCTGCTGCCTATTCACATTTTGTTACAGGAAATAGAGGATGCACGAAGAATTCGTAGGAGTGTAATTGATTGCTTTGAGAGAGCTAGCCTGCCAAATTTATCTGAAGACGAGAAGAGAGTGATCCTTCACTTTGTAGTTGTAGGTGGAGGTCCAACAGGTGTTGAATTTGCAGCAGAGTTGCATGACTTTATTTGTGAAGATCTGGTCAAGTTATATCCTTCTCTACATAAACTTGTAAAAATTACAGTCATCCAGTCAGGGGACCATATTTTGAATATGTAAGAGATATTTTCTTATATTTAATGCCTCATACATCTCTATACCTATGTGTTTGTGAATCTGTGTTTGTAATTTTACCATGTAGACTAATTAACTTGATCAATTGACTTATGAATTGAAGTGTTAGTATTATTAAAATTTATGACTAGGCTCTGGCCTTGCGCATTGTAATCTGGTACTTTGTTTGGAGCTAGGGTCACTTATCCCTAAAAGGAGACTCAACTGGTGTCATCTACCTATGGTGCCTAACCTCCATTTTGATGAAATATATAAGCTATGATCTAATATTAGTGTGACCTATGGGTGCACATGGAAGGAATCCAATGAGCTAGCTGACTTTTTGGCTTGATAATAGGGGCT